TACGAAAATGAGCAAAATTCCAACGCAGGAAGAATCGCTTGCTGCAACAGTGCCGCGCGGTGGATTTATTTCTAAACCGCAAAATATCGAGGCGTTAATTTTTCGTGACGCACAATCTCCCGAGTGTCTTATTCTTATTAGCGAGTAACACCGGAGATTATATCTTTCGAAAGACGAATCTAATCGCTGAGCGGAGTCGCGCCAAAGAGCGAGTTACTCGGGAATTGGCATAATAATCGGAAGTCCCATCCAAGTTCCATCGAACTGTTCTCGCGCGCGCGTCATCCGCGCTCCAATCCGCTTATGTATCGCTTGTACATCGATATATCAGGTTGTTCAGGAACTAGGAGTGTGCTTATCAATTGTTAGTATCATAGCTCACAGATATCCCATCGCCAGCTGTGTATTGCACGTCACGAGATCGGTCATATCCCAGATAATTCGCGAAGTGACTCACGCTGGCTATTCGATGAACAGATGAACATATTAACATTGACAACACGCTCCAATACGAAGGCAAAACAATCACAGTACGGAGGAGTTGAATGATCTATATACATTGTATTTTTCTCTTCCTGGTACAAATGACATAATTTTACGTGGAAAGATCAGTCAAAAGCGTAAAATACAATTCTTCTATATGTAGATCCATTCTTCAAGAAAATTATTATAAAAATTGAAAAACTAATATTTTTAGTCATCTTTTTTAAACTCAAGTAATTGTGACACGAGTTAACAATGTATGACAACACGGCCATCTAGTATTAATACAAAATTCAACAGCTGGTGTAGAAAATAACGGATCTCGTTGAAATTGTCAATTATTGTATTATCCACGGAATACCAAAATTAACTCTTGTTTCTACATAAAATATCATATTTTCCGCTGTTGAACAGAACTCAAACGAATGTTATCGAAAATCGAGCTTCGAATGAATTAAAAAGAACGGATTTTATTATCCTTTCTATTTTTCAACCTGATTTTCTCGAAAACGTAACTTTGTGAAAATAATATTCTATTATACTCTGTTTCTGTTTTTTTTTTCATACAGATTAATTTCTTCTCCGGCTGTATCACCGATAACAGACTACCCTGTACAACATGCCTGTGCACATGCCTGGCATATACGAGCGAAAGTAAAAATTTGTTACATGTTATATGTATATATGTACACCGAATACGTATGTGCGCGGAAGTATACATGTACATTCAGTTGGAGAAGGATCCCTTCGCGTGCCGGCCTCGCTTAAGAGAATTTCATATTTAGAGCCGTCTGCCTGCGCAGTGTACTCGGAGATTGGAATATTCCTGAGATGTCTGAAGTTTCATGAGAAGTTTATACGCGTACTTGAACATGCACATACATGTATATCGAATACACGTGAGAGATTTATGGTTCTTGCGTCCTTCATTAGCTCGGAAATCACTGTGCGACGTTTAATAATAACTTCCGTTGCACGTTACTCAAGCTGATTCGTCCCCGCATTCCTTCCAGCGATTTATAGCAAAACGGTATTCTTCTTCTCGATTTCAAGATCCCTTCTTGCTCTCTGCTTTCGTAATTATTTTCATTTATATTTAGAGCAGGGTTGTGCCTGCTTAAAATATAAATAAAAATAATTGGGAAATTAGAGAGTTAAATTTCAAGATTACATCTACATGAATTGCTTACGTTATGTTTACCTCTTTCATGTAAACAATATAGTAATGTAAATTATTATAAATAAATTGATTGATTTATTAACTGATTTTTAACTGTATTTTCACAAACAGTCTGAACAAATAAAATAAGTATCAGATTAGGTTAAATTGGTTGCATTTTGTAACTTATTTATTAATTAACTGCATAGTGATATAAAAAACATGATACTAATAGAAATATTATTAATTCCACCCTGTTAATTTTTCATAGCATACTAAAAATTGTGCCCAAACTAAATAATAATAACAACAATAAAATTGCAAATAAAACATAAATTTCCGATATTTCTAACAAAATATGAATGTTCAATGATCCATGGGTTACTCATTGTTTACATGACATATTAAACATAGTTTACATTGTATACATGTAGATGTAGATTATTATAATTTACGCGTAAACGCACAACCCTGATTTTAAGTAAGCATCCAAATCAAGAACTTTTAGCAATGAGCTTCAATAAATACAATCGCTGACCAGTTAATACATATCGAGGGCATACCGATAAAACGTGTCACGCGATTTTCCACGATCGGTCGCTATAAGACGGCACTTATACTTTCATGTTCCTTGTTCCTCGAAGACAGTCGTACGATACATTTCAGATTTATAAGCTCGTGATTTCCGAAGGAATGTGCGCGTTTCGCGAAGAGAACAAATCGATCGCGGTAGGAAACAAGAAAATCACCGTAAGTTGCATTTCCTTTTGTGGCGCATCGGAAACCGGCCACCGTGCGCGGCCACGTAGAAAGAGAACGTGTCAAAAATCCGCGCCTAGAATCCCTTCGCTATTCCCTTCGTAATCTTCCCGTATCAATATGTATTTATCGAGATACGTGCCGTGCTTGGAATTTGATTTCTGCCGACTTTTCCGCCGGCGTTCGTTTGAGGCGAGAAAACGATTGCGGTACGCGACGACCGTATTGATTCCCTACCTTGACTCCATTTTGAGATACTCGAGGTAAGAAATGATGTAAGAAGGGAAACGAAGGGTGGAGAGGAGATGAGAGGTGGAACGAGGGAGAACCTGCCGGAGAATTGCAAAATGTCGAGGATGATTGATTATTTTCCCTCTTGGTTATCGGCGTTAGCGAAAAGCGCGTGATATAGCGCGGGGACGGGTCTGTTATTATTCGAAGAGTCACCGTACTTTCGCCACGGCGGACGTCGAGCTATCAAAAGTTAACGCTGTTAACGAGATAGACGCGCGATAAACGATGTTTCATTTCCGCGCGTTATTCGCGCGAATTTCGCGAAATGCGTGTGGCGGGCTGTGCGTCGAAAATTCGCTTCCCACAGATCTGTGGGATTTGTGTCCCACGTTTGGTGCCTCGCACAAAACCGTTATTACGAAATCACAAAGTTGAGGCGCGCGGAGAGTCCCGGTGCCAAGGAAGTTACGCGCAATAAAAATGCAAAGAACGTCTGGCCGCTGATTGCCCCGAACACGGACACATATATAGGGCATGCTTTAATTTTCAAACTCGCCCGCGAGGTGATGTATCCACGTCCGTTTGGAGGAACGAAACTGGAACGTAAATACGCGCGGACGGTGTTCGTTGCCTGCTATATCATTAAAAGTCTCTCGACATTATGTTCGTTAAATATTGGATGACAGAAGAGTTTGCCAACTTAACTAATTAATTTACTTTGATCTATATGTTATTACTCCGCGTTTTTTCTTCTCTACATTTTCTCTCTCTCTCTCTCTTTCCCTCTCTTTCTAGTCACGTACGATTGCTCTTCTTGCGCTGTGCCGTTATAACATTTTTCTCGAATTCTCGTACAATATACTTTTGTTCTTTAGAGAAATATGGTTCCAGTGTAAAATAAATTGCTATACTATCACGAAAACGCCGCCGTTTCTATACGATAACCAAAATTGAATCGCGTTGCCGTGTAGGACACGCGAAGATATTTTAAGGTAACGCGAGCGGCAAAAAATTGTGACCCTCTTTTCCTCTCTTTCCCTATATTCTCTCGGCTCATATATCCATCCGTGTTCTTTCGAGAATTCGGGTCGTTCACTCAGTACAAAAGAGTGTGAGATTCCACGCCAGTGCGGTGTGGCGCGGCCGTGTTCCTTTTTCCTCTTTTTACGACGACAGGGATGCTGCAGCTACTGTCTAATCTGGCAGCTCGTTTCATTTCCCCGGCGATTTGTCCCGCGGTGCCATCTCAGAACCGTTAAATCCGTGGAGGCAATTTGGATATTGCCTACGTCGGATGTATAGCTTCTGTTGGTTGAGTGGAAGTCGCGATGCGAAATGCACAGACACTGAGAGAAAGGGGAAGAAAAGGAGAGGAAGGGGGAGGGAGGAAAAGGGAGGGGAAAAAAAGAGAGAGGAAAAAGAGAGAAAACGCTAGAACGCAAGAACAGCCGGTTGATAAAGCAAACGTGCGGAATAAGGACGATCGTTCGCGGCAACTTAAATTCGAGTAGCATCCGCCTCCCTTCTTCTTCCCCTTTCTCTTTAATTCTAAGTTATACCTCCGCGCGCTATTATCTCGCGTTAGAGCTTGACGCGGGGCGTCGGAAGATGATAGAGTATACGGTCGTAATACTTTTGTTAAAAGATGGATATCTACTTCTCTCGCACGCGCGTGTACAAAAGGCGCGGACGCTTATTTATCGAGTATTCGTGCCGCGTCGCCGTAGTTCACGGCATCGTCGAATAAAAAAGATCGAATCCACCCCCGCCGTGATCGCGAACAAGAATTTCTCGTACAAAGCCGTTCATGAAGCTCGTCGGCGCCTCCGGTACCAAGTTTGCCGCAACTTCGGACCACTTGACATTATCTGTTTAGGGATGTCGTAATCCACCAACAGGCGTGTGAATAAGCAGCGATAATTAGCTACCCTCGCGATAGTGCTTAAGAAACTTTGGCACATGCACTTGCACGTCACCGCCCTCGGCGCGCGACCGCGGCGCCACGGCCCGTCGAAATATTTTCAAAAGGGATTTCACTGTCGCTCGTAATGAATAGGGTGTAACGATAAAATTTCCACCCTCCAATATTTCTCCATTAATCTCTTCTCACCGATGAGCGAGGTAAAAATATAGGGGACGACGTTAAATTATTATTCATTGTCGATCGCGGATAGGAAGTTATCTCGGTTATTTCGTATAATCGCGTATATTGTACGATCATGTATGTATCTAAAGTAAAGATACATTTGGGAGAGTCTATCGAATATAATTTTATTATAAAAAAGAACTTACGAGACGGCGATGAGATGACCCAGTTCTCTCGCCGTCTCGTTAAATCGAACGAGGTCTGTCGTCGTTAAATCAGTCAAAACGAATGTTTCAGATTCGACGAACAGTGCGACGGGCCCGATTTTCGTAGCGCCAGTTGGGAATCAGACCGCCGCGATTGGTCGCGAGGTCGTCTTCTCTTGCAGCGTTCGCAACATAAGCATTCGCAAATACAAGGTAATGATCCCCGGGGTGAATGGTGAACGTAAACACGAATGGGCTATGCGGATTAAATTCGCACGCATTTGATGGCGTGCTGATGGTACTTATCCCGTAATGGGATTTCAACTGCGCCGACCGGTTTCGCGTTTGGAATACCGAAGAGCCGTTTTTATGATCGCTTGACTCTTCCGTTAGCATCTCGCACATCAGGCACTGAAAATTCCGGTCTCGTGGTTTACGGACGGATTTCCCACCGAACGCGCGAAAGCTCAAATTAATAAAAATAAAAAATAAAAAACGCTAAAAGCAGTGTCGTCGGCTTTCGACGTAGCCGTCCGGATTTGTCGCGACGGAGACAGAAGAATGTGCGAGAGCCGAGCGGCAACGATGATAGAACGTATCGTAACAAATGTCAACCGTCCTGATATCGCAAACGGTAAGGTCACGTAGCGCTCGCCGGGGACGTGCTACGCGACAAAATTGAATTGCCGCGAGTGAAAAATTTGCCATAAAAGTAACTCCCCTCCTTTTTTGTTCCGCCGACGCGCGCGCTTAATCTTCATATCGCGTCGCCTCTTCTCGCCATCGCAGAAGTAATATAAAATAAAGCCAACACATAGAACGAGTAAAACAAATCGTGGTTAGATCGAGTCAAATTGACTTCGCCTAGTGGAAGTCGTCTCGAAGCCTGTTACGAGGAGGACGAAGCAACAAAAAAGTCGTTTTTCTCTCGTCGCGACGAGGATATAGAATCCCACTTTCTTCCATCGTAATCCGCTAATCCGCCGCGGTCATTCTCTCCCCGATAACATCTAGTACCGGCTACATTTAGTAATAAATTTCACCGTCAGAATGTAGTCCAGGAAAAAGAAACAAGGTAAGATAAGGTAGAAAGAGATATGTTTAGTGGAGCGAATGTGGCGGACGGATTTCATCCGTAAAGCATTCTTCATAATAAGACAGAATGTACCGTCTAAGAGGAAACGGCTATTCCGGGCGGACGGGACTGAATTAAGATAAGCCCGATGGCCCGATGCTAAGTCTAAGTTAAGACTAGTATTTACCACCAAATCTCACTGCTATTCGCACACTTGCTGCGATACCGTACGATATAACCATCTCACACAATGCCCAATTGTTCGAGCTCGCAAAATATTATTTTCTTTTGTGTTTCATTCTTTTTTTTGTCCGGAAAAACACCGATCTATATTCGTGAATATATTTCCATAATCACTCTGCAAATCTTTCTCAAATCTCTCAAACCGTTTTACGTTTACTGTTACGTCGCACCACCACATTTTATATATTATTTCTGTTATCTGTTAATTAAAACTTATTGCCATCGGTATATATACGAATCTCTCTCTCTCTCTCATTGCGTACGTCTCAAATCAGAAACTTACAAATATTATTTCAATGTTCAAGTTAGCTCTCATAACATCGTTTTATTTTTATTTCAGAATCTTTTTTCTCTTTCCCTTTCTCGCGTATTTACGCTCAAGTTCATTTTTCGCGTTGCATCATCTCTTACTTGGTTTAATTTACTTCCTCGTAATTACTTCGCAACTAGTTCCTGCCGCGACTACTGCCCGTAGTTTCTTTTCTGTATATCTTTGGTCGCCGGGAAGGAGAATGTCATCGCAGACAGAGCGTAAAGAAATACCCCTCAATCACACGTTCGATCGATAGACCACTCGAGAAAATGACAGCTGCATTCGCATTGCGTCGCGCGTTGCGGGGGCTGTTTCCAGGTCGGCTGGCTACGCACCTCGGACCAGACGATTCTCTCGATCCACACCAGGATCGTGACGCATAATGCGCGTATCACGGTCACCTACGAAAGCGGGGCGAGCTCCGGGTCCGCCGGGACGTCCGGCGGCACTTCGGGAGTAACCGGAAGCAGCCAGGCCACGGAGGAGATCGTCGACGGCACGTGGCGTCTGCACATTCGCCAGCTGAAGGAGACCGACAGGGATTGTTACATGTGCCAGATCAACACTAGCCCGATGATATCCGAGCTCGGTTGTCTCGACATACACGGTAAGTGTTATCTCTTATCTCCTGTCGTGTCGCGTACGTGTCACGCCGCGTTCCGGCGGCGCAGGAGCAAGGAAATCACGCGTATAATACACTTCGTGCAATTGTAAACCCCTAAATGCAGCTCTGAATTTAGGTTCGCGAACTTTCCGTGGCGCATTGTCTTAACTATAGTACCGAGCATGTATTAGGCAGTTGCCTTTGTTTTAACACACGGAATCAGATATTAATACAGCAAGGCTATGATTAATAGAGTAATTACAATAACATTTCAATCATTTATAATCGTCTACATGTTTCATTAATATGACACGTTAATACCAAATTTAACTCTGCAACTTGATATTTATTTGTCATATATCTGAAGAGTATTTTCGCTACGGTACAATATTGGAGTTAATCGAATAACATACATTGCAGAATATAATTGGCGCTGAGAATTTAAGATCGTAAAGAATTTAATATGCAGACTCTCTGTGTTTTAAAAATTCTTCAGAATATTAATTCTAACGATATAATTACGAGATTATTTTGTTAACGAATTGTTCTTTTCATTTCTCGCTTCGTGCCATGCTTCGCATACCCTCGCTTAAAAAAACATTAATTTTAATTATACTTCTTAAACATCAAAGACGACGTTGCAAACTCTATCAAAAAGTAATGCATAACATTAACGTTACTTTAAACGTCTGCTAAGGAGCACGCAAATCGATACGCGAGGAACGCGAGTCGGAGAGCATCGCGTATGGCCGCATATGCAAAACTTTTGAGTTTACCCGAACGGTCAAACGAACAATCGAAAAACGCATATAGCATAACACACAAAGGAGCTCTCCGATAAAATTACCTCCCCTTCTCTTCCCTCTATCAAACATCCTATACTTAAGCGAACCTATTCTCTCCCCTTGCTCCCTATATCTCGACCTTACCGTAAACGCGCCTCGGGAATGCTCGTTCTTTCAAAGACGTTCCGGCAAAGTGCCGGTTTAACGTAATGACTTTCATAAAGTACCCGCGCGGAAAGGAGGACGGACAGGTGGCCGTTACCAATTTACTGGCATGACCCGTTTGTCCCGCAGTGCCACCCGACATCGTTTATGGGGGTGACACCAGCGCCGATTTGGCAGTGGCGGAGGGTGACAACGCGACCTTGAGCTGTCGCGCGACAGGACATCCACCTCCGAGGGTGTCCTGGCGTAGAGAGGATGGAGAACAAATCATGATAAGGGCTTCCACGACAGGTAAAGAGACGTCGTCGAAAAATTAAAATTTTCACGATTTCCCTCATTTGCCATGTAGCACATCAATTATTTACAAAGCAAGATAGAAGATTCTCCCCAAAAATACTTATCTTAGCGAATATTTTGTGAACGCATTTAAAAGATATTATCAGAGCAATAATTTATTTTCTTCTCCCGAGAGAAAAAAAGATATAACAAAAGTGAGTGACCTCGATACCAAATCTTATTTTATTTATAAATACATTATTAGAACCACGAACTGCTCTGTCAGCTGTTAATCAATTTTTTAAAATTTAAGTTCGCGAAATAACCGCGGTTGAAGTAGTAGATAAAACGTGATATCTCGATCGATAGTCTGCGGATTTAAGTAAAATCATCTTGATGCAACGAAGTTGATAAAGGTAATAAAGAGGCAAATGAAGAGAAATTAAAATTTTGATCTTTTTTTTTTGCTCAATTCTACCACCAGTCAAGAGCGAGATTGCACGATGCCTCAGATAGTAGAGATGGATGCGAAATTCTCGCGAATAATAGATGCTGCACGGCGCCAGCATAACTCAATATTGATAGGATAATTAAGTGCTACTAATATCTTAGTTACCCCGTAGTTGCTTGGTCGGGACGCGTTAAAGTGCGAACTATTATCGGAGTCCGGGGATGCGAACGAATCCTTTCCCCGATTACACTTACCGTTATTACCGCCTAGTTATTGATTTTATCATGTCAGAGGTTAAAATCGTAAAACTGATCTTTTTTGCATAAAGATTTTCTTTTTTTTCATAGAAATTGAAATCCGTGCGCGATATATAAAACATTTACCGTAAAATACCGTAAATCCTTTTTCATCTGATATTTGATTCAAATGTAAAATTTTTAAGAGCTGTTAATAAAGAATTAGATGCAATATCTTGTCGGGAGAAAAAAATCCTAGGTTGTCGTTGATTTTATTATGTCAGAGGTTAAATTGTTAAAATCGTAAAACTGCTCTCTTTGCATAGATTTTCTTTTTTTGCACGAGTACATATAAAACACTTTTTGCAAAATGCACTTTCTTTTTTTGTTTGATATATCTAATTCAAATGTGAAATTTTTAAAAGTTGACGTCAAGAAAGAATTAAATGCAATAACTTGTCGGAAGAAATTCTAGGTTGTCATTGATTTTATTATTGTCACGAGATAAAAATCGTAAAACTGCTTTTACATAAAAAATTTTTCTTTTTCTTTTTTTAGAGAAATTGACCCGTGCGCGAACATACAAAATACCACCAAAGTCCTTTTTTCGTTTAATGTCTGATTCAAATGTGAAATTGTTAAGAGTTGACATTATTAAAGAATTAGATTTCTTGTCGAGAGAAATCCTAGATGCTTATCTCGATATTTCTTTGTGTCACGAGATGACGACGACGGTCGCGATCCCGAGAATCAGCTTGAACAGAGAGAAAGTGACTGGACTGACAATGAGAGTAAATTCGTGGTGTATCGCGTGAGCCGGAAACTTTCCGAAACTAGTATTCTTCGCGGATACGTAGATCGAGTGTAAGAAGTACGTATAGTAGACGAGCGCGAGGATGTAACGAGTAAGCTCGTTGGAAACAAGTTCCTCTCTGAGGTGAACTGACCTCGAAGACGGGTGAAACGTGAGAGCAAAGCCGCAACCGAGAGTTCCTTTGGATGGTATCTCGGTTTGTACGCGTGTACGTTACACAGAGACCAAGAGAGAGAAGCTATGTCGCGTAAATTGGCGCACACGCTCGCATTCACGGTTCGAGTCTCCGGAGTTACCGAAACTGGTTGACGTAACTATCTGCATATCTCGTTTGTACGATCAGCTATCCTTGAATTCGTAACGCGGCCGGTGGTAGTCGCGCGTTATCATCGGGGAATTTACAACGTTTATTTTTTATGCCGACGCGGAAGGTGGTTTGTTAACGAAAACTCGTTTAATTATCACGTGGGTCGCCAGCGATTTAAGCGTGCGTCTTTTCGTTCTCGGCGTCGTTTCTTCCAGTTGGCCAGTCAAATCCACGTCTGATCCTGACCGAACTTCCCGCTCGCTTCGCATCGCGAATTTTCCTCAAATCGGGAAATGGAGTAATTGTGATTCGACGTAATCGAGCTCTGTTGTTTCGAGGTCTGTTGTTTCGAAGCGAGCGAACGGAAGAAAGGGAACACGGGATCGCGGGATCGATCGTTTTTCCACGGACGATGGTAAAATGTTTCTCCCGTGTACGCAGGTGGTAGCACTTTCGAGAGGCACGACCACTACAACGGTTCGCTGCTGCATTTCTACCGTGTCGAGAGGCGGCAAATGGGGGCGTATCTCTGCATCGCCAGCAACGACGTGCCGCCAGCGGTTAGCAAACGGGTGACGCTCGCTGTGAATTGTAAGCTCCATTCGCTCGCACGATTCGTTCCAATCCGTTCCGATCCGATTCCGCAGATTACGTCTCGCGGAAATAGTAATTCGCTAATGTTATTCATATGTAGTCAAGACGCGTAAGTTGTCGCGATTCGAAAGAGAAAGTTGCCGATAGTCGAGGGAAGCCTTAAAAAAATATAGGTACTTTCAAGAAGAAGGAAAAATTTTCGTTCTTATTTCGACGAACGCAATAATTTTACGAAAGTGGAACTCGTTATTTTGGACGGATTCCCCGTATACAATCTCCAAAATAGGTTCTCGAGTCTTTGTGTCCCGGGTACAATAAAAGTTATTTCGCGGTCGCGAAAACTCACGTCCGAGGTTTCGTTTGAAAATTACGCAGTAGGACGAGCAAGAAAAAAGCTTAATTTCGGCGCGCGCGCGTTCATCGAATGAGAATCAAATTTTCCGAGAAATTTTCATTTCCTCTTTAAAACGAGCTCTACATCTTTAAAGCTTCCCTCGTGCGTACATTCGCGAGGAGCTCCCGCTCGCATTTACCAGACGCATTTTATTTTCCATAGTCGCACCCGTCGTAAAAGCACCCAACCAGCTATTGGGCGCTCCTCTGGGCACAGACGTGCAGCTCGAGTGCTACGTCGAAGCGTTTCCGAACACGATCAATTATTGGGTGAAGAATCAACGGGGCACGGATGACGAAATGTTATTGGAAGGGTGAGCTCTCGTTCGTTATTTTCTTAATACGAATAATCGTTCGCCGCGATACGGCTCGAGCGGCTCGAGATATAAAGTAACGGTAAAATCTGTGTGGGCACGGAACACTTCGGTCGTAACGTCGCGATTCTGCAAATCTCGGAGCGACGTCGCCGAGACGTCGAATTGTAAAATTCCAACAAAGCTGAAATTTTCCAATAAGCCGATATTGCAGCGATATTCCGAGCTAAAAATACTACGATAACTTAAATGTGATATCGAAATGATCGCTAAATGGCGATATCTGTCTTCTAATTTCGGAAATTGGTATAACTTAAATACGATGTCGAACCGATCGTTAAATGGCATCTGTCGTCTAATTTTGTAAATTAAATCTGGCTAATAGATTCAGAAATTGTTAATTACAAATAATTAGTACTAAACGATCGCCGATAAATTCTCGTGGTTCTCCAAACGTAACGTACATACAAAAGGCGAACGTTGCTGCGATTCTACAACGAACGTTGCAGCAACAACCTGCGTATAATATTCGCACGCGCGCGTCTGGCAGATATATCTTCTCGCGCGATATTTCCGTCACTTTTCTGTGCCGTATACCAAGGAAATGACGGTAAAAGGTGCGCTCGCGCTCGGTAGAAATCTTTTATCTTTTGCCCCGGCATTTTTCTTTTCATTCTGAAAGCGAAAGATTCTGACAATGAGACTCATGTACTCGCTCGTGTGATTCGTATACAGACCGAAGTACAGCGTGCGGGAGGAACGTACGGGATACACGGTCCTGATGTGGCTCTTAATCAAAAAATTCACGGACAGAGACGTCGGTAGTTACAAATGCGTTTCAACGAATAGCCTAGGAAAGGCGGACGGAACTTTGAGATTGTACGGTAAGTTACACCGGCCCCCGCAGCCGAAAGAGCGGACATATGCGCTTTCAATTTTTATACGCTTTGAGATCCTCAAATCCGGATCGGTGTCCACTTTCAGAGATCAAAATTGGGTTCGACAGAGTGGGATCTCGTGGGAAGGATCACGTATCTATTATCGGTGGTGAGTAACATATATATAAAAAGCAGATTTACCGCTCGAAAGCACGCGTATCAATCCCGTTGTTGCCGTCGCGATAAGATTCAGCGCTCGGTAGCCCGACCGATTCCCGCAGTAGCGCGATTAATTTCTCTATCGAAACAGATCGATGTCGCGCTTTTTTTTCTCTCAGAGAAAGGGTGTAATTTATTTTTTTTCTAGGTTTGGCCGAAGCCGCTCAAAGTTCCGGCGCCAGCAGCGGCGTCGGCCGTTTCTCCACGAGCAACAACTTGTCGCAGATCCTATCGATGTTTCTCTTCATACCGATACTGTGGATACGGTGAAGAAGGGATCCATTACTGGTCACCGCTAAGCTACTTAGTGCCGGATGACTTTGTGCCAAAAAAAAAAAAAGACAAGAATGTAGAGAGAATGCGCGAGAGAGTGCGAGAGATAGTAGGGCAGAGAACGTATGGAAGCAAGAACGCTCAAAAGAGAGAAAGAGACAGAGAGAGAATGAGATAGAATGAGAGAGCGAATGGAAATGAGATAATAAATCGGAGTCTTCGGTAACTCCAAATTCTTCCTACTTTTCCTTTTCCTACTCCCGAGTGTCGAGGACATTTTTAGATCAATGAGTGTTGTCAATGTATGCGTCGCTTTAGATTCGCGCTTCGCGGATCGGCCGAGCGAAGCTCGAGATTCGCGCTGTTCGTCGGGAAATGAGATCGGTACTGACCCGAAGGTTGTCTGCGCCAATTGTGTAATTCGTTTTAATACACTTTATACTCGAGGTATATATGCGACGAGGGGACGTAATGCGGCGATCGACGCAGACAGCGTGAATCGTGTCGACACGCGAATCGACGAATTCGAGAGGAACGGGGGGAAGGGAGTTCGCCATATTGCGGGGATGCTTTATGAATCGACGAGATAATAATCAACGGTCGTTTTGTCATTGATTTATCGCGCTGCTGACTGACTTTGAACGTCGGTAAAACTTTGATGTTTCGAAATAAAAATAAGAATCGAACGTTGTACCTTCTGCCTCATGTTTTGTCATTTTTTTCCTTAATGCTATATGTTACCCATTTTTCATCTCGCTT